ATTAAACATCTTCATGACCGAAGTTCATTCAGTGGGCTGGATCCCTCGTGAATTTATTGAAAAATATATAAAAATATGTGAATATATTAAAAAAACATCTAGTGGTTTTATAAATTAAATCCTTCTTTTTATGCACTTTGTTCAAGGAATAATACACAGACACACACACACATAAACATATAAATATATATATATATATATATATATATATCCACAAGTCAGTCTATTGGTTAAAAAATGTATGCTCCAACTACGTCAGTTACGTCAAGTCACAAAATCGCTAGATAGAGATACAATGACTCTATTAGTACATGCTTTCGTCAACTCTAGGTTGGATTATCGTAACAGTCTTCTATATGGTATAGCTGATAAACTGTTATCTAAACTTCAGATGGTTCAGAATCAGGCCGCTAGAATGATATATCGCAAATTAAAATTTGATCATGCATCACCAATTCTAAAGGAGTTGCATTGGCTGCGTGTTAAACAAAGAATCATGTTCAAGTTGGGTGTAATGGTATTTAAAAGTTTAAATGGTCTGGCTCCGAAATATTTAGAAGATAAGTGTATTCGAGTTTCATCTATGGAATCACATGGGCGTCTAAGGTCTGCCGATCCAAACACGCTGTATGTTAGAGATCGGAATCTGAAAACAGCAGATAGAGATTTTGCTGTCGCTGGGCCTATTTTTTGGAGCAGCCTACCTATCGAACTACGTATATCCGGGTTATCATTAGCTGAGTTTAGAAAACGTCTAAAGACATACCTATTTGGTAACTCCTAGTGATCTCCACCGATGATGGCTTCGCTTTCAACATGCTTCATACGAGGAGAGTGCTGATGAGAAGCAATTATAATTGGCGCTATATAAATACAATATTTGATTTGATATATATATATATATATATATATATATATATATATATATATATATATATATATCTGTATATAAGAATGTTTATTTATAGGATGTTTATGTACGCTGGTGTACATCATATAAAATATAATTACCCATACACACAGTTTATTTATGTTTATAATGTTACACAAAACATTAGAGACCGTTAGATTAGATTATAAGCGCTATAGAGAAGTTGAATACATGCAACGGATGCAACGGTCACATACACGCAGATGTGATGCCTGACTATAAAATGGACAGCTCTATTCACTGGTTTTTAAATTTTTTTCTTAAGTTTCTTCACTATTTTTCCTGATTAATTAATTTTTATTTTTAATCATTTTGAATATTGTTCATTTTTATAATTTTGTTCGGTTTTATATTTTTTTGAAGATTAATTCAGCATAGAGCTGGTTGAATTCATTGAAAAATAATATTTAATTCAATGAATAATTGATTGACTGCCGTCTTGAGCGTATTGTTTCTTGTAGTATTGTCTTATTAATAATAAATGTTAACCATGGTTTATTATGAATAGAAGTATAGAATAATTTCAGTTTTTACGTACGTAAGTGATAGTGTCATTTATATTTATGTAGTTAATTTTGTGATTTATTCATTACAAATCTGCCTTTGAAATGTTCCAACAGAGTTTTATTTTTCAGAAGGATTGTTAGTACTGACTATTACCTCATTTTCAATAATAATTTATTTTTGATGGTTTATCACTATCATCAGTCGTGTAGTTATTAAGATATCTTGTCCTTCATCAAGTTATATCTGCTATGAATATTTCAATCAGGGATGGTTATTATATATTAATAACCCAGCCAAGAAGTATCATATCTGTCTTCATTTTTGATAGAAAGCAACGATTTATTTTCAATATTGATAAAATTATTTCGCTATTGAGGTAATGCAAGTGAGATTTGAAAGTAATCAATTTCACACAAAATCATTATATAGGGTAATCTATCTAAGTAGAACAGAACATTTAAGAGACACGGCGATGATAAAACTATAAAATATAAATAAAAAACAAATTCTTTTAAATTTTTTTCCGATTATATAATTATTTTATTTTTATTTCGCATAAACAATTAGGGCTCTAATTGAAAATTTAAATTATAAAGTATAAATTACGTTAGTTCATTGAAATTTGAAGCGCTTTCAAAAGTGTTTCGGTGAAATTTCGTATCGACAATCTATTAAAAAAATAATATTTATTTTCTGGTTTCTGGCGACTATATTAATGATTATGATTTTAATATTACATAATTATTAATACAAATCAGTGGCTGTTTCTGTATCTTAAAATATCATGAATTTTATTTTATTATGAATATTATGAATTTTAAAAATTTGTCAGCATCACATTGCAGGTTTTTATTCACGAGCCGGATTCGAAAATACTTAAAAATGATTTGAAAAAATGATGTTACGCGTTGAAGAGAAGTTTCGTTTAATTTCTCCTTTTATATCGCTTGGTAGTAGTTAATCACGACCTCCATGCACATGTCCCTCATTCAATTTCCATCTCATCGCCCATGTTTTTAAATCCATTAAAAAAGAAATTGAAAAAACAAAAGTAAGAAAATGTTTATTTGCAAATGTAGATAATTTTTTGGCAAAGTTTTTTAATTTCAGCGTTCTTTGTTTTTTGTTTTCTTCCATTTAATAAAACATTTGTCAAATTATTAACTAATTCTTTATTATGACAGTTTTTTTTATCATAATGCGCATCCATGAAAAGTATTAGAATAAAATCATTTTGTTCGTCTCAATGTCATGCAAGAATAATTTTTTTTTATTTTATTCTCAAAGTACAATTGCCGGCCGGTCAATTGGATGAATTCGTTACGTAAACCGGATTTTCCCGCGGGCAGTGTGCAGGCCATGCGCGTCCGGCGGTTTGCTACTTGTCCAAACGAAATTTATTCTGTATGAATGGCACAAGTTCGTTGACGACTTTCCAACATATTTCTACATATTAGTTCAATTTTTTCAATTTTTTAAAGTTATGTTTTATATCAGCCTAATATATAATGATGATTTTTTTATGAACGTTTATCGTCATCGTCATCTTTTAATATCATTATTACCTATTGATGCACGAAAATGAAAAATAAAAAAAAACGCTAAATTTTGTGAGGCTTCCAACTCAACTTTCATTTGAACTTACTCAACATTTTCTTTAAAATTCCATGGTAATTCGTGTTAAAACATCCATCACGTCGTTAAATAACTAAATTGCTAGAAACTTTCAGATGAATGTACATGAGCATACTTTACAAAATAAATCAACATTAAGCATGAAATGGCATGCATGCCATTAAAACAAATTGAAAATTCTAGCGTCATGTTAAATGTTCTCTAAAAAAAAGCTTTTACATCTTGTTAGATGTTCATTAATAAAATCTTACATCCTGGCGTCGTTGAGGAAATGGCATCGTGTTTGCTCTTGTTGCAGATTGCTTATTGGAAATAGATAAAAAATTTTTTTCAAAAATTTTTTAAAAATGGTTGACGCTAATGATGCTAATTAAAAAATATCGGTGAGTCTGATGATTGTTATCATTATCATTATTACGATGATTAGAAGGATGGAGTAAATGATGATGGTGATAACAATAATTAAAATGATTGTAATGATGGTGATGATGATGATGATGATGGTGTTGATGATGGTGATGTGGCAATGATGATGATGATGTAGAAGAAGATGATGATGTGATGTTGGTCATGGTTGTAATGGCCCTGACGATAACAATGCTAATGATTAGTTTGCAAATGGAACAACGTTACTTCATGTTCATGTTGTTTTTTTACTCAGTCATTTAGAGGTAAAATACACGTTCGTTGCTTAACCAAATAGCCTGACTTGAAGTTTTTATACAGTCACATATTCCTTTTACAACATCTGTCACATTCAATTTCATCCCATAATCATTTTTTGGTCATAAAGTTCTGAGTGCAGTGCAGTTTCCAAATCAATACTTTTAATAAAATTATACCCGTACCTATGAACACGTTATGAAGTGTTATAATTTAAATTTTAGACTAAAATTAAATTTTCAAATGTAAAATTTTTTGATTTTAGTTTGTTTTTAATAGACATGTCAAATGTAAAATTGTGAAAATGCTAATGATTAGCCTGCAAATAAAACAAAATTTAAGAATCTCTCAAAAAAGTTATATGAAAAAGAATAAGTGCAGTACCGTATAAAAAAGAATAGAAAGAACTATTCAGAAAGTGTTCAGAAAGTGTTTATGAAATTTTTATTAACAAATCTATCCATTGACTGAAAGTTAATCGGAGCCGTATAAATTTAGCAAGCCGGCATTGAATTGATCACATGATAAGCCTGCCCGTCTTTCTTACATTCTACCGATGAAATTTTCCACTTCTTGAATTAAAATCGACTCATTGTTTTTTATTTCAAATTGACCAGCGTTTGATTTTTTTTAAAAAATCGTTTAAATTTGAAAGTCTAAAAATAATGCTATGTCTAGATATTGACTGTTTTTTTTGGAAAAAAGTTAATTTCTTCTGTTTCTAAATTTATTAGTAGGAAGGATTCCGATTGCACGTTGTTGAATATTTATTATCGGATGTCTTTGTTCTATGAGTATTGATTCGGCTGGTCGTAAATTATAATTGTTATTAATGTAATGTAAGATTTCGACATTGTGGTCCAAGATTTGTCTAGTAATTTTGGTTTTGTGTATCTCTTTCATGTGATTCTTTATAGCGCCAGTTTGTACGGGCATCGTGAATCTTCTCGATAACTTGGTTGGTCGTCGTCATACCAATATATTCGGAAATGTGGTGCCCACGCTCACCAATATTACATTTGAACAAATATATTAGATGGCTATGATCCATTATCGATTCTGGTTTACTAGTGCAGTTGTTTTTCATCATAAGAGATGACGTTCTTTGCTTGGAGTAGCATATATATGTATTGTATATATAGAATATACCAGACAAGTTTTTGACGTTTGACTTTTATAATTTGTTTAAAAAATTTTAAATTCTTCAGTGCAATTTATAAACTGCAATAAAAGCACTCTAACAAATCATTGTTCATTACTTGGGATGCATCAGTCTAGTCTCGGTGTTTGTTCAACGGTTGGTTGCGCGACTTTAAACAATCTGCCGCAACCAGGCAGCCACACTTTCAAGGCATGCAGTTCAAAGTAAGAATGAACAAGTTAAACATACACACAGTGTGTGCGTATTTTGTCATGTTATGTTGGATAAATAACTTAATAAAATAGACAAAAGTAAATTCATCTATATTTATTTACCCATTTATTTAGATGCATGGACATCGCAAAAAGTGCATGTGAACAAATTGCTGTTGAGTGATTAGTTTTTAAGTACACCCTAAAGATGCTCGGTCATGGTCACACAATAAAAGCATCAACTCATCGAAATAAATCAAAATTTCGTGGAAATATTTGCACGCATGCAACCGAAATTCTTTCGATATCATGATTTATTAGATGTTCACAAACGGAGCAATTTGTAAGTGAACCAATGCTTTGTGTGAATTACACGTCCGTAAGGAGCCTGTCACATAAATCAGGTACTCATTTCAATAATGGACCAACACGAAGAATCGGAAAGTTTGATGTATTTGCGCGCCGTTTGTTAACCACGTTTCTGAGTTGCTCTTTTTTTAATTTGCGAATCCATCTTTTAAATCCTGGGACCTTTAAAATGAAGAAAAACTAAAAAGTGACTTATCATTTGTGGAGGCATGACATTTGAGATCATTTTTAATTACTGCCTTTAAAATATTTCCATATTTCAAAAAATATTTAAAAATAGAAGACAAACCGACATAATTTATAAACTTCATCAAAAAAAGTTTCAAAAATTTATACCAACATAATTTATAAACTACATCAGAAATAGTTTAAAAAATTATTCTACGTAATTGGTACGACATTGTAAAAGCGTAATTTATTGTTATTGTTGCCTGCCTGAATGAAGCCTTGTTTAAATTAAATTTCAAACCCGAAGCCTTATTTGTCTAAATTTCAAAGCACTCGACCGATTTAAAAATATCATGACGTTGATGAATTACGAAGCACATTTTTAAACAAGCTAAAACAAATGAATTTCCTCCCGGCGTTACCTAAAAATTGACAATTTTCATTCAACCGCATCAAATCGTATGCAGAATCACCTAGCTAACGAACTTCTACATTTTTACCTTTTTAAATCTTTTTAGACGCAGAAGGGCTTTTAATTAGTCTACCCTACGCGTACAAAAAATATGCAGTCACACAGGCAAATATGGCAGGATAGCGACCAACGATTCAAATATTGTTATAAAATATAATGTTGTAACGAACTCTGAATGTGAATGATCATCGTGAATGAAAATATTGCGAATTATTCAACCTTCTTTCAGATCATTGCAATCGATAAATTGTTTAGACGGTAGGGAACATCAATCTGACACAATTAACAACACCGTCTGCAACGACAGCACTGTCTTCAGCAACAACAACAACGTACCACCATGAACAACAACACTCACAACAACGACAGCAACAACAACATTCTCCATGGTTGCAGTGAGAAGACGAATGAGTTGGGTTTGTTGGTTCTCGACGGTGGGTTCTTCCTCGAGGGTTGTCTCATCCCGATACTGGCTCTCGTCACTGTCATCACCAACAGTATCGTCTGTCTGGTGCTTACCTCAAAGGTGTGTGTTTGTGCGTGTGTGTGTGTGAGTGTGTTTGCGTGTGTGTGTGTTCGTGCGTATGTGTGTGTGTGTGTTTGCGTGTGTGTATGTGCTTACGAGTTGTTTGTTTTGTCGTCTGATCCTTTTAAGATCATGATTGACAAATGGTAACTACCACCTTGATATTTTAAAAGCATTTGTTTTATTTACATAACATTAGGAGTATGAGACAGTTTATCCATGTAAATTATCCATTGATTTGTTTAATGTATAAATTTATTATTCTTAAATTTGTTAATCACAATATTTTATATTGATCAGTTTATTCACAATGAAGTATTCGATCCAGAAATATTGCTAACTATGTTAGGAAAAGTAGTTAGAATTATCATTGATACAGTGGCCCCACAACGCTACGTGGTCTCGAAAAATATGCCAACTTCAGCGTGATTTGATGAAGGTTGCCAACTGGCAAAGAAACGGTGTAGAAGGGCTGAAAGATTTTATCGGTGTTATCCCAATGAAATCAAAGGAAAATATTTGCCGACACCATTCTATATAAATTTATGCTGCTACTCTCTTAGTTTTCTTGTGCTCTTATACATTGGAGTATGCTTAATTTTACGGTGTTGGCGATCAATTTACAATTCTAAAACTTCTAAAACTTTTTGCTAGTTCCCGTAATTCCCTTTTTGTTAAGAATAGGTTTTCAAAATGTTTAACTTAATGACTTTTTTTGCAAATTTCTGTTTATTTAAAGCTATAATTTACACAGAATCTAACCTGTTTTCTTCTTTCATGGTCTAGTGGGGGGAAGGCATTCCCGCATCCCCCTAGATTTGCCACTGCCTTCAGAACGCTTAGGGTGATGGCTTACAAGACAACGGATACAAAACTGAAGCATATCATAAGATTATTGTAGTTGCTTGTTTTTTTTTTGTTTTTTTTCTAAAAAAATATCAAATGGACAAATAAAATTATTTATTTCTAAAAAAAATTTTCCTACCAATGTGGTTTCTAAGTTTTCGATTTTCGTCAAGCGTTGACAGCTGTCTCATGGCTGACAACATTTCGACCGCCGGCCGAGTTTTGGAGTTGATAAAATTTCATTTTAAATTTACTTACGTCTATAAGATTTTTTGTGTCTTTTCAAATAAACTAGTTTTTTTTAAACTAGTAAAAATACAATATTTTCTATTTTTAATAAATTTTCAAGAATTTAAAATAAGAGCAACCGTAGGATTATGTTCGACGTTCATTGTCTTAGTTAAGTTAAATTATTCTCCTTCACCGGGTAACAAACAGACCATCAAAATAATTAAATAGAAATTGCATAGCAAGACAAACCAACTCACAAATGAACGTCCGTACAAACTGCAAGCACAAAAAACACTGACATAGTAGTGTCCAGTTTGGTCTTTTTCTCTTAATAATACAAAACTTGAATGAGGTTGGCAATGTGGACATTTTGACATTGCTGACATTCATATGTATGTGTATTTGTGTGTGGTGTATGTATGTGTATTTGTGTTAGTGTCTGTGTGTGGTGTTTGTATGTGTATGCGTGTGTTTGTGTGTGGTGTATGTGTGATGTTTGTGTGTGGTGTGTGTATGTGTGATGTTTGTGTTTTAGTGTAGGAAATTTAAATATGCCCCTATAATATATTATATACAAATGTATAACGTATATATCCGTACAAGTGTATGCAGAATGTCGGAGTCGGAGGTTCTTAGAGACACCTGGATCGGAGTCGAATATTTATCGTCTCAGAAAAGTTTTTAAAAACTAAAATTGACGTTATTTATAACCCGAAACACTTTTTTAGCTCGAGTTTTCAGAAAATGTGTATTGAGAAACGCAATTATTTATAATAGTTTGGTCTAGAAATAGTTTTGTAATCTTTCCTTAACCATTTATCATATGTTCTTCACCAGTATGTTCTCAACTTTTGCAAAGGTTTCAAATAATAATATTTTAATTATTTAAGTCATCAACATGTTGCATTTAATTAAATCATGCAAATATTGTATTTAATTAAAACACTTTTGCCAATACAGAAGATGTAGAAATATTTAAATTTGGTAACTGCTGAGCAACAAATAAAAAATGTTTTTAATACAGCGCCGCGAACAACAACCATTGCACAACAGTCCAAAAATATTTTATTTAGTATTTTGTAGGCACAAATTTAAAATAAATGCAGAACAACTAAGGAAAAAAAGTCGGTAAATTAAATTCCTGATTTAAAACGTGTTATTCTATTATACGATCATTCATTTTATCATACTTTTGCCTATATGTGAGTGAACTGATAAAAATCTTGATCTTAAGTTTTGTTAGATTCGTTGAAAAAATGACATCATTTTTTTCCATAAAAATGTATTCAACAAAAATCTCACAAACGTTATTTTTTAAGAATTGTAACGTGCTACACCCAACACAGTAATAAACATCTCTGTGCGTGTGTGTGCGTGCGTGTGTGTGTGTGTGTTTACGTAGGCGTTTAGCATATTTTTTTATTAAAAAGTAATTAATTTGGTGAAATACAGATACAAACACTTAGCAGCAAAAATAAATTAGCTTCAGATTTCTGTGACTTTGTTCCGTTCCAACATAGATGAATGATTTCCATATAACTATTTCCCGTCTTCTTGGAATCGAATATTTCAAAAATTTGAAAAGAATTCAGTCGGGTATAAAATTTTAGTTTGAATTTATAATAAACCAACAATTTTTATTAATGATTAATTTAACTTTTGGTGTTTTTCAAGCTGAAAATGGATGTGAAAGCAGAGGCGTAGGCAAGAGGAGACTCAGGGGCTAAACCGCCCTAATGGAAAATTTCGGTAGGGTCAAGGATAAATAGAATGAATTTTTTTTTAAATTTGGACAAAACTATTTCAACCCCCACCACAATTAAATTAAGTTTCAAAATTCTGGATCCGCCACTGTGCACTACGTAGACGGGTTTATTATCTTCTGCATTTCGTTTCAACCTTTCAATTGCTTGACTCATAAAACTTAAATTCATCATTTCAATTTTAATGTTGCAAGATTCAATGAATAGTAACAATCATTAAGCGAGATCATGCAGGCAGGGTCATCATCTGAATGTAATCATACACCATTTCAAACAAACAGGCAATTAAAAAAATCAATTCAAATATTAAATGTCAAAAAAGAAGTTTAAACTTGAAAAACACGGTAAGAAGTCGTTCAATTCTTGTGACAATATGGCGAGATTTGACGTGACCGAATAATTTAAAATGACGCTTAAATGTTTAACGACTGTTTAAATTATTTAAAATAAACAAAAATACTTTGAATAAAATAAAATACAATTTTTTCATCTAAAATATCCTAAGAGAGTTTAATTTTGGGCATCACGGAGACATTTGTGAAATGCCATGATAATCTCATCAATTTTTTCTCTCCTTAGAAGTTTGCCTAATGGCTGATTGTTAATATCTTATTAGCGAGAAATGTTCGAGAGAATTTTTTATCCAATAACGTCCATCAGCCCTCAAGAATAGCTGGCTGGCGTTCGACCGATGAAATTACTTTTAGTTGTCTTTTTTTCTAATAAAACAATACTTTCTTTGTAATTCCAGAATAATCTACACATGTTTATTAAATTTTTCAAATTTTAATTTTTTTATTCCGCCTCCACTGGAAGGAACGGTAATGAATTTCTAAATTTTCGCGATAAATCACGAATGAATTTTTAAAGAATGCTTTTTCGATGACTTCATAATTGTAGCCAGGTGCTTCATGTTTGTGCTCTTTCAATTTTCCCATTTCTGTTTTTAAAATTTGACAGGCGTTTTTAATTTTTAAAAATTATATAAGTAATTTAGATTTCTACCTGGAATTTTTCAATGACAACAGCAAAATAAAAATTACTTAATTACTTAAATAAAATACTTCAAGACTTTTTTGTGATTCATTTAAAAAAGACTTCATTAAATTTACGTTAAAAAATTACCCAACCAACAGAGCATGATCAGTCCGACGAACGTTCTCCTGGTTGCCATCGCCTGTTCGGACATGTTGACCGGATCCACTCCTGTTCCGTTCTACCTACACTTCTACGCCACGAACCTCCACAAAGACTGGCTGCCGTACAACTGGTGTGCCACTTACCAGTACTTGACCGAGTACTTGCCCACCATATTTCACACTTCTACAATCTGGCTGACCGTGGCGCTGGCAGCACAGCGTTACATTTACGTGTGCCACCCTGTCAGAGCCAAGCTTGTTTGCACTATCAAAAATTTTGCCAAGTTAGTTGATTGTGCCTGCGAGTATTGTCTGCTCTGATGAGTTTGATGATGTTCCGTTAATGGATGTGTTCAATGTAAGGTTTATTTATACAATGATCATATCAATGGCTTATAAAAAGTTATATTACGTAGTTATTTAATGTATTTTAATGACTGGTACATATTTTTCAGGCGCATATAAACAATGTACAACACTTTCTATACATACAAACAGTAAGTGTACGATAATGCGTACCTACTTGTCTCTAAGCGGTGTGTGCATATTTGCAAATTTCTGCCTTAATCTCGTGCACTGCTCATGGTCTGACGGAGAACAAATATTGGAGGAGTGCTTGAATAAACACGGATCATCGATTGCTCATTGTACTGCGGAACAACATTTATACTTGTCCGGCCCATATCTATTATTCATTAATTACTTGGCGACGTTAATTCACTGACATGGATTCTAAATATACTCATTGTCTAACTGAATGATTGTGACGAACATTTAAAACGTAAGAAATCATTTTTGATGGCTTCATAAATATATGAAGTTTCTAAAAATTAATTATTTAAACGTTAACCTAACTAAATGTGTTACTTAAAAACCTTTCAAATGAATAGAGTATAAAGAAGATTATCAAAATTAATGAATAAATCAAATAATTGGGGGCAGCGGGGTAAAATAATATTACCTCAGTATTAACTGAGTGTGAGTATAATGATGTATGCGCTCTCATGCTGCGTTGCATTTTTCAACTTTTAACTAAATTGATTGGATGAAAATTTTCAACGCTCAGTCTATGATTCCGCTAGTTTCATTTGCTGTGCATCAAAATAAAGTTCTTGTTTAATGAGGTTCATTATTTTTGCAATAGAAAATATTTTATATTTTAGCAGGTGTACTCATTTTAATGCAACATACTTTTTTCAAAAATAAAATGTCTAACAGTAATTTGCATGTGTGTAAATTTTACACTTTCCAAAGTAGTTTCATATGAAAATTTAATTTGCCGTTAAAAATTACTTGAATTTCAATTTATTAATATGTAATCGATACATAAACGAACGTTGTTGAACGAAACGAAACAGTTAGGTTTAAACTTTCACGCATTCATTCTTACATGAGGATTGTCAGTTAGGAATACTATTGTGACAAACAACTGGAACACCAACACGAACACTCCGCTGCATTGCCAACAAATTTAAAAGTTAAAAAAGTTCCTTATTTATTTATTAGTATAAAAATGTGGAGTTGGCTGGTATTACAAAATTTGAAGTTGGATTAATGTAAAAAAAGTAGTTTACAAAAACATTTCAAGGTATGAATAATAATGATAATACTTTTTCAAAATTAATGTGCTCAAATAAAATCAATATGCCCATACCAGAGCCACAATAAACGTTTTAGCGCACATGGGGTTACTCAAATTTGACAAACTGACCATTAAAGTATTTTATAAAGCAGCAAACTGAATTAAGAATCAAAATACCAAACGCACATAAAACCTCCTAACAACTAAATATACCTACATACATGTGTGTAATAAAATATAAAAATAAGAAGTATAAAAAATTTATGTGAAACATTCAAATTTTAAAATCTGGTAAAATAAATTATAATCTGGTATTATGCAAAACAAGTACATTTATCAGGCTGGTTTGTATGTTTGTTTTGCTTACATTCGTTGTTTATACAATGTACCTATATGTGTGTGTGTGTGTGTGTATTAAAGGACTTCATTTAAATACTCATAAATAAAAAATTAAGCCGACACTTGTGTGAAGTTAGATGGTGGCGCTGCCGAATGGTGTGACGTGCATGAGCACATACTAAACAAGCTTAATCGCTTAAAAACATAGTTTAAATTTTTTTGACTTTTTTGGAGTTGAAGTCATATTATATCCATGGTTGAAGTATATAAATTTCAAGGCAAATGATTTGTTATTTTAGAAATTCAATACCATTACAAAACAAATAAGCACGTATAATTGGCCGCTAGATAAACATACGTGCATGTATATGCATGCATGCATTAGCACGTGGCAATCAACTGGAGACTCCATTAAATAGAAGAGAGAAAAATTTAATTATGAAACAAAAAAAGAAATTTAGTTACTGTTTGATGAGAAAACTGTTTGAGTTGTAGCGGAAATGTGAGTTACGAGCAGAGAAAGAGCATGAAAGTGGTAGTGTGGAAGATGCACCTGCATTAAATCTCTCCTGCCTATCGCGACCTCCGGCTGTAAACATGACGTGAAAACAGTTACGCTAGCCGAAGTTGTGAGGCACTGACAATTATAAAATTAAAACATTTCTAGTCAGGCGCCAAATAAAGGATCGGCAAGGCCTCACGATGTATGTGTTGTAGTGTTTCAAACGACTGAATTTGCAAAAATCAATTTCTTTTAGAATAATTTTATTAATGTTTTTATGTAATAAGTTATTCAAAGGCCAGAATTATTTTACGAAATTTTTGGATTGAATGAATTTTAAAATAACAAGCAATAAACTGTGGAATATTTCGAGTTTTGGTTTAGAAATTATTGATAACAGAAATAAATGACTGTAAACATTTGAATTATTTTTCAATTTATAAAATAATAAGATGAATTTTATTTTTTTTTTACAAAAAATCTCAAGTATGAAATTCCGAATATAAAAAAAATCAGTAAAAATGTGTTGGAGTGAATTATTATTGTTATTATTATTATTATTATTATTATTGTTATTGGTGTGTTTGTAGCGCCCTTGAAAATGATCTCAGAGGCGCTAACAATTATTGCAGTACATTGCGTAGGACTTTATTAAAGCAATGCAAAGAATAGAGAGAGAAAGAGAGAGAGAAAGAGAGAGAGAGAGAGAGAGAGAGAGAGAGAGAAAGACAGGAGCAAGCCTGGACAAAAAGATGGTGTTTCAACCCTTTACGAAATTGAATAACAGACGATGCAGAATCACGAACGTTCCTAGTCTAACCATTCCAGACAGCAGGCCCCATTACGGAGAAATTCTTTCGACTAAAAGCCAAGTTTGTGCCATGTTTGACTCAGCAATGGCATTGTTCTAGGAGTGACTCTGTCGTTAAATATTTAAGGGCAACTCCCATAATACATTTAAAAACCCTTAAACATATCTTGAAAATAACTCTTTGATAAACTGGAAGCCAGTGAAGAGCAAAAAGGCCACCTGAAAACAACCTTGCAGCCCAATTTTGAACCGATTGCAGTCCAGACTTATTTACAATGGACAGGCCGTGATATAGACTATTGCATCAGAGCAAGACATTGAAGAGTATGCTTGCTTATAAATCGTTTGACGCGTCTAAGCCTACGCAATTGTCCAGAGCATTCTTTCGGAACTGCCCTTGTATGAATGTTAAAAGACATGTTACTATCAAAAACAAGTCGCAGGTTGCGTGCAGATGCGCAAAAAAATAGAAATAAGAAGGATTTTGATTACAGTTGCAGGTGCAGCAAGGATTTTATAATTATTTGCTCAAGCATTTCAAAGTTATGGTTAAAAATAGTTTGGTTTGATGAGGAGCTCATTTTTTAAATTTAAAAAATTGTTCTATCCTGTTCTCTCTCGCATTGAAAACCTTTTTTTTTTAGTTTTCAGTCATTCATCATTATCAAACAAATTCACGAAGCCATTCTATCTTTTCCGCCATGTTCCGCTTATTATCTCATGCAAGACATTTGCGTTACGTTGTCATTCTACCCAATTCAGCTGTCAAAACAAATATGACTGATGCAGATTTTGTGTGTGATGTAGATTGCAAATTTTTTTAAATTATTTAGTTGAATAAAAAATTTCAATTATTTTATTTATTATGGAGTAGGACGGTGTGCCAATTAAATCAGTTTATCTGTTTTAAAGTATTTGTTGCCAGACACAGAATAATGTTGTTGGTTTATGTAGGTGCTGCCTTTTGTTTGTTTTATTCACTTTGATTTTGACCTGTCAAAACGCAGTTTTCCTAAGTTAATTTATCAGAAAAATATTTTTACTCAAATAATTAGGCATTTAAAGTAGTTGCAATAAAACAATAGCAAAAGCAATCTTGGTCATTGATTGCTTTAAAAATTTTTGTTGAAAAATATTTTTCAATACTTAAAACTGTTAAAAGTTATCTTCTGATTCAGAAAAATGTTTGTCCAGTTTGCTGCCCACAATTCAGAGGTTCGTACCTTCCAACCCCTTCAACAATCACTGACAGTCAAAGATTTGTCTGCCGTGTTCGGATGGCAGCTCTGATAACTGCAGTATCTGAAATTTGATTTTTTGTTAACAAATTTCTCGGCACGACAGGTCTGTCTTAGGTAGGTAAGCAATATATTCGTTTTAAACTTACTATTTGACTGTCAATCAATTTTATGTTTGTAATGAGTTTTAAGTTTGAAGTTTTGTTATGACAAATTGTCTTGCAAAATAAAATATAAAAACAATAACTTGAAAAATGTCTTTTGAATAAGTGCCTTAAAAAATCCGTTTTTTAATTTTAAAATTACTTTCTGAAAGTTTATAGAAAGCAAAACGTTAGAAATTTTTATTTTCCATTTAGGAAAGAAAAGTTTGTTTTTTTGAAATCATTCATTTAAAATGTTTCTTTTATTTTTTTTACCAAAAACTTTCAAAAAGCAACAGATGAAATGTTGATTTTTCATTTTCAATTTTTACCTTTAGAAAACTTATCACGCAAAAAACTTAGCCCTCCTTTCATACAAAGAAAATTTTAAAAATTTTTTTGATTTCTCTTAATATGAATATATTTTTTGTAAAATGATTGTTTGTTTCTGAATTTTTAATTTTGAAATACTACTGAAAAGACATGTTCGTGAAATTTTATTTGCTGGTGACGTTCGAGTGATGACCCGCTTCAGCCCAGTTTTTGTTTTCAATAATTTAATTGCATTAAGCGGCGAAGCAATGTTATTCAGGAGTGAAAAAACTGTTAAGCTGCTCAAACTAAAATTAAACTGCTACAGGAGTCTACAAACAAAATTACTAAGAATCTCGTTCTAAATAATTTCAAACTTTTAATTTGTTTTAAGTGTTAATGCACTGACTAGGTTAAAAACTAGAAAAAAACCTTAAAAAATTTGTTTTAAAAAATTATTAACTAGTGTGCTATAAATATAAGTTGGTGTAAAAATTTGAGTGGCGAATTCTGAAATTTGCAGTAGATGAGCTTCAAAGTATTTCATAATCGTAAATCTTCGACCTCTATTTTGCTCAATCAACCAATTTATGGTAACTTTTAACGTACAAAATGTTTGTGCATTAGCCAAGTGGCAATGTGTGAGCATCGTCTATTAGAAGCTTTTCCTGTTAGGACTGAATTGATTTCAAAAATAATTTAGTAAGGATAGCTATGCAAAATAAATCCTTGTGAAGTGCTTTAGCGCCTGCACCTACATCCTTCTTGCCTGAAATAACATTTGAAATAACAACGTCCCTCTTCCTTGTCACCAATTTGCTTGAATCCACACCAATAACACGACGACGATACACTTCACATCCTACCTACTACGATGAACATTGGAATCTAAAATTTGTTCGTTCCGACTGAATTTGTTGGAAGATGCTTACATAAACAGTAGGATTCAACTAAAAAAACTAAAAAGTGCTGCTGAGTGTTAAGTAGAAATAACTTGGATAAAAGATCTGCACAGATTTTTAAAAAACGTTCAACATTCACAACCAAATTTTTTTTCAGCCATACGATTACAACACATATATATATATATATATGTTGGTAATAGACCATAATTTTTACAATATTCTATAAATTCTACCGAATGTTTGGCGTTTAATATGTTTGTAGTTCGTTTTAAGAATTTAGAATTTTGGTGTTGGTGTAATTCGCATCAAAGTTCAATTTTACAACACCAAAGTTAATTTTTACAACGTCAAAGTTCATCTTGACAAAGTCATTATTTCCCTATATATACAGCAAGGAGCACTGATGATGATTCATTCGGAATCGA